AAAGTATGAAATAAATATCAAGTTTTCTCCGAGAAACATCTTTGGTGTGATGAAATAATTAAAATCATTTCTCTCATCTTTCCCTTCAATGAATTTTTCACCTCTTAAAAAAAACTATTCTTAGCAACATACCTCTTTGACGGGCTTATTTTTGGAGGGGCTTATATTCGGAAGGGCTTATCTACGGAGGGAAATTTGCGTTTCAAAATAGATTGGGCTAGCCTTATAGTTGGAACTGCGTTTACCGTTTTTGCTTTGTTTACTTTATATTTGAGGGCAATTTTCCAAGTACAAGCCCCGGGGGGCTTATATTTAGAGGGGCGATTTAACGGAGGGTTTTTTGCGTTACCGGTTTGGGGGGCTTATATTTGGAGGGGCTTATACATGGAGGGGCTTATTTTCGGAATTTTACGGTATCTATGCGATCATTCTTTTGAGTTTCGAGTTGCGACCCCTAACACCATTGTCAGGCTTATAGCTTTGGACGATTATGAACTTTATGAATGTTTCTTTCGCAGAGACTTCTAGGACTTTCCCTAGGGAAAGGGAAAACATTGGCCAACAAGCTGACGGGCGCGATGCCATTAACGATCCCAGAAACACCCGTGGGATACATTTCGGCACCAGTCCTCTCATTGTTTCTTTACAAACAATAAGATTGGAAATAAGATTGTCCTATTTCAGATGTCTTTCCTGGTGTAGATATATCTATGGAGAAAATATGTCTTGATGAAAAAAAGGTTTAGAGATTAGAATACAGGTCAGATCGCAAGAATTAATTTTAAAAAAGTAAAAATTGCCCTTCCTACAGTAAAAGAAGTATGTAATTTTCCTGTTAGAAGGGCTCTCAGATTTTGAGGGTAAACTTGCGATTTACTGAGAGTTTTAGAAAAACAAGAAACGGCAAACTCGAAAGAAAATTTAACTGAAGAGATTTACGGAAAAACGCGCTTTTAATTGCCAACCTTGAGTTCGGTATTCGGAAATCAAGAAAACTGTCTTCAAGTATTGAGACACTGCTGTTTAAGTGTTGACCTTCTTTCTTTAATTCAAAACATTTACTGAACTAAAATGAATAAGACAGTCTCCAGAACGTCATTTTGAACACTTTATGAACAGTTTGTTTTGAAGAAGCACAATTCAGGCAATTAATATTAAGGAGACTACACCAAGCTAACGATGATTGGTACTAGTGCAGACAAAAATTATTCAGATCTTGTTCATGGTTTGTTGATTCTTGTTTTTCGTAGGCATCAATTTCCTGTCCATACATTTTTTTTTAAACTCCTTGATTCAACCAAATCCATTCCGTAGGCGTCTGCCGTCAGAAAAACTAATTGAGATATTCATTATTTTGTTTCTATACTTGTTATATTTTCAAAACACAATATTAAGCCTCAAAATCAAATTTTATTCATAATTAACACGCTCGAGATGGAAGTAAAAAATACAATTAATAACGAAACTGCAAGCGAGAAACTCATCAGTAACGAGCTTTTATGACGGTGATTTGGTAAAGTGATGAGAACTGTCTCGACCAATGATAAACCAATGCGGTTTGTAGGTGTTGAAGTTCAATAGCCGAGTTTTAGTTTTTTGGCTTGAATCCGCCCCATGATGGCAGAATACCAAATTGAATTTCTAATTGAAACTCCAATCGCTTTCCTAATGAAAAGAAATTTTAGTTTTGTTACTAGCGTTGCGAAAACACATCTCTGTTTTGGGTGGATTATTCGAAGACGGTTGAAACTTAAACTGGACAAGCATGTTTTGGAGTTGCATTCTACACTGAATAGCAAAAGCAAGCTTAATTTGCAGCCTATAAGATGGCACCAGATGAAATAGCGGACGCAACGAACGAATTTTGCGAAAACTCTAGTTCCCTTCCAATTTCTGCGATCATAACTCGAGCAGGCCTTGTGCTGTTAGCTCTGTTCATCATAGCAGCTAATTTGACAGTCATATTTTTGGTTGTGCTTAAAGACTGTTTAAGGACTAAAACGAACTTTTGTTTGTGCAGTCTCGCAGCAAGTGATTTTATGGCGGGATTAATCGCCGTGCCCTTGACAATTGCCTGCTCTTCCACATTGTGTGTTATTCCAGAACTTTGTTTGGCCATGGATCTATGTCAGCGATTCTTGGCGATTTCATCAATTATCCACCTCTTGGTGATTACAACCGAGCGGTATACCATGATTGTTTACCCGATGGTCTATCCTCGAGTCATGACAAAATCCCGTATCTTGACCGCGTTGGTGTTCACCTGGTTAATATCGCTTTTTGTCTCACTCATTCAACTGTTTTGGTATGAGCCAGTACATGGGGAAATGCCGCTGCCAAATAAATATCTGATCTATGATATTTTCTGCGTTGCGATTATCGTATTATTGCCACTTACGTTCATGATCTACGCCCATGTCCACATACTAGTGGTTGCTAAGCGACAGATTCGCACGATCCGGCGGCAGACTGGCCATTTGCGGGCAGCCAATCAGAAGACAGAAAAACATAGCGCGCAACTGGTATATATCTGTATGCTGGGAGTCTTTATAACTGGATGGGTACCTTACTTCCTGCTTGCCATTGAAGCTGATTCGAACTATACCTGGATTGTTATCCCTCCCTGGGTACAAGAAGCTTCATTATTTTTCAAGTTTTTTACCGGCCTCTTTAATCCACTTCTTTACACTTATTTCAAGAGTGACTTTAAGAAAGAAGTTTTGACGTTGTGCCGCAAGCTCAAAATTTCTCACTGCTGTCTGTCTACCTCAAAGAGTAGCATCCACTTGACTAACCGGGCAGAATACTTAATCGAAGAAAAGGAGGAACATGGCCTAATATTAGAGCGCGTGTCTGTCGTTTGAAAGCGCTTCGTTCCATTTTCACTTGTGTGTAGCTGTCTTAGATTTTCACAGCCAGAGTGAATAATGGAGTCTGGTAAGGTGGTTGTACTTTTAATTTGAGCCTGTGGGCGAAGTCCTTAAGTGTGACCATTCATAAATGAAGGTACTGAGTAGTACTTTCCTGGGGTACTATTTACTATGCTGTATACAAATGAGGTGGTTCTAACTTTGAGTCTGTGGATGAAATTCTAAAGTGCAACCATTGAAATAGAAGCTATAAGCTAGAACTTAGAACTTAGCTAGAAGCTAGAACTTTCTTGTGGTGCTGTTTATCATGCTGTAAATGAGGTGGTTTTAACCTCTGAGTCTGTAGGTGAAATCCTGTAGTGTGACCATTCTAGCAAAAGCTACTGAGTAGTACTTTACCATAGTTATGTTTATTACGCCCTTCTTTATAGGAATTCCTCCCTAAAGCGCACGATTAATTCTCTCAACAATGTCCTGGTGATCTGTATTATTCTCTCTTGGTTTTAATAATGATCAAATTAACATTTTTTCCTCATTTTACCTGTTTGCCTTAAGTTGATACACATTGATTCGATAATGTTGTCATTAACCTTTTGAAGAACCATCACCCCGAAAAGGAATTGTTCAAACCAAAATTAATTACCTATACAATATAAGAAAACAGAACCACTGTAATGGAGATATTGATTCCGACGTGTAAACGCAAGGAAAAACAATAAACTAAATCAATATATACTGTGTTGAAGGGGAAATCCCAAGGTAAGGATCTATTCAAGGGCCATTGCAATCTAGTCATTTAAACTTTGAGGTTAAAAAAAATCTCGCATTCAAAGTCATCTTCTCTCTGGTAAAAATTTATTGTTTATTTATCAATTGTTCAATTATTATTTATTTATGTATTTATTTATTTGTTCATTTATCAAGATATTTCGTTATTTTACTTGCTTGCACAAGTCTTCTATTTTATGCAGGATTTTACGAAGAATTAAGTTTGATCAACTAACTTGCTTAACTTGCAAAATACATGTTATATAATTTAATTGATCAGTATGTCGTATATTTTCTTAAAAACACGCGAGAACACTTCATGCCACACAGAATAACATGCATTATTGTCACCATGGTAACCAAGGATAAAGGTAAGAAGTGTCTGTTTTGCTAAAGGAGTTTCCTGCAACCCTTGAAGTCAGGTATTTTTGTTGGTATCCTGTCTTGCAACCATTTCCTGTAAATAAAGAAAATTAAGTAACAAATATATAGTCTTTTGTCTTTTTCAGTTGCCTAAGAAGGGCAGTGATAATCTCGTAATCTAGTCCGTCCCCAGTCCCTTCTCTGCCATTTTCGAAGCTGGCGAAAAGTCCTTGACCTTGGAAGAACTGTATACGAGACTAGAGATGATTGGCTTACCTTGCATACATTCTCTCACTTAGATACGTCAAGTCCTGTAAAAGATGCAACAAGTTATATGATAAGGGTGATTATATATAAAGCGAAAAGGGGCGGTAATTTAACTGTAAATAACTATTCGACTGTCAAATTAAATCACAACCTTGTCCCCAGGGCGCTTTTCCCTGGCTTTGGAGGTACAAAGCCAGGTAAGAGCGCCCTGGGAACGAGGTTGCTTAAATTATTCTTATACAAAATATATCTAATCCCTCGAGAAGACTGATACTGAGTACCTCATGGCATCAATGGCGGACACTAACTCGTCCCATCCCAGCTACAATACCTTATCGCTTACCCTTTTACCCTACCTTAAATGATTTCATCGTTGATTATTGATGGGTCCATTCCAGCTCTAGCTGACGTTTTCTTTTTTACTAAACCTCTTACCTCTCTTTACCACGAGCTTCAAATACATGCATTCTCACCTCAATGAATTCTAAATTTCCTTGTCTCTCACGATGATATCCGGTTCCAATGAAGCTTTGACCACGACATAAGCAAGCGCTTTTGGTCTCTACCACATCTCTAAGAGTTAGGAGGGGAACACGTGTTTTGCACGTGTCAAGTGACGAATATGCACGTGATTCATGTCTCTCTGGATGTCTACAAATAATATTTAGAGAAGATCTATGATGAGATATACTCTGTTCGGTATGGAAGCGTTCAAGTTGTCTTTCAGAATAGCTTTTTTCTTGCGAGGGGCATGTTCGCATTCGTCTTTTTGGCTTTGCAGTTCCACATATGAATGTTCGCGGAGAAACGCGGCTTGCTTGTCTGGCTGTTCTGTCAACGTCTAAAACGTCATGAACAGATATCGAGTGGGACACACGCGTAGAGGGAAGGAACCTGTACGAAGAGAAAAGAGAAAAAGATGTTTGATCAATTCTGATACTGCTGCACGGTCCTAACCTGTAGGCGACACTAGGAAAGTATCACTGGTTGATACTCAGACAGATCCTCTTTTCTGAGCCGTTGTTCGTGAAAAGCGCCCCCCCTTCCCCACCGCAAATAATAATAATAATAAATCAAATTTAATTTTAAAAGAATAGGGAAGACCGAGGGAGTACCGGAAATGGAGCCCAGGTGAAAATGCACTTTCGAAAAGTTTCAAAAAATGTGGAAAGTCTGGAAAATCACGTCGCATTATTTTATGTTTTATTAGTGATTTAATTGCTTAAACACATTTCAAGGAGGTATGACCTACCGGTCAAATATTGACTGGAAGTGAGCCTGCAGATCGTCTGTGTTAACGAACATGACTGCATCAGGGTTGACTTCACAGGCCTTTGAAACAGGTAAAAACAGTTATTGATATTAGTCTTCTTTCATCAGTCGACCTTGAATGTCTGAGGCCACGGGCGGGGGGTGTCATATCCCATGAATCCTTACGCGCTTCACGCATGCGTAATACGTGCTTCTTGCCATTCGGCTTGAGGACATGTAATTTGATTAAATTGTGTTGAGTTCTCCTGATTCTGCGTCTGTTTTGATATACAATTACAAGGGGTTGGTAAACCTGGTCCTAAGTTCTTACGGATTCCGACCAAGAGTGCGGCTCCTGGTAATCACTACAGACATGATCATTACAGTCCAACCTTGGTCTATAAAGTTACCTGTGAATAAAATACATGGCCGTTTGATGGTGGGGGAAGGGGGATCCGGAGGGGGGATCAGAGCTTGTTGTTACTCCGCGGCCGAAACTGCCCTCGAAGATGACCAGCTTGGCCCGGTTATACAGGTTTGCTCACTAATGAAGGAAAGAAGCCTCAACCAAAGAGGGAAACGACGACGAATTTTAAATAGTCTCAGAACTGATCAAAGTTTAGGCCAAAGTTAAATATAAGTGAATAGTGGAAAGGTATCACGATCAACTTATATCATGAATCATTTATGAGAGGCAGTTAAATTGTTTATTATATATATACTTGAAATTTTCTGTGAGTTCAAATTTGTGGAAGATCTTCGTGGTGAAGTGGAGAGATCAGACTAGCGCATATATCAGAGGAGGGGTTCCATTCTAAAATGATACTTCTTTCTTTTAATTTAATAGGATAAATGCTTTCGATTACAGCTTTAAGTGTCTTAGTGCCTGTTATAAAATTAATGACAGCAACTCTAATTATGAAAGAAAAACTTTTCCGGCTTTCACTATATCTTAGGGTTTCAATAGATACCTTATCAAGATCCCGTTCTTGTTTAGATTTGTTCCCTTCTTTTCTCTGTAACAGTAAGAAAGTCGTCATTAAATGGATGAATTGTGGCGAGCAGCGGTGAAAGGTCATACTCTATCGGTATGTACCCTATCGCCTTTCCTTGGCTTCGTCTGTACTCTGCTTCGTTGTTATCAAGGCTCCCGCGGAGCTCTCCATTTTCAATGAATTAACATACACTTGAAAAGAAGGTATATTATAGGTAATATTATATGTATTATATATCTAAGGTGTGACTGCAGCCTCACCCTTCTGCTAATGTGATAGTGGGAGGATAAGTTCACCTTTAATCCAAGGGTGGATTATCCTAGCGTTTTGAGATGCAAATTTTTGAGACTACGTTCGCTTGGGGAACTAATCTTATTGATCTTTCCAGTTGGTTGTTGTGTCATCGTGAAATCTTCCAAGCAGGACACAATTCATAAAAGTGGTCCATTTTTTACCTCAATCTTCTTGTATAGGCCTCTCAGAAGCCAGCCGCAAACTTGCGAGGGGTTCAATTTGACAGCGAAACTGGCGTCTAATAAAGCCTATGAGAAATAACAGCACCACGAGTTAAAAAAGGATTGTGGGACCTTTTCGTTACTCGATCAAGTATTTTCTGATTCAATGTACTCCATTTTCTTTTTATAATCATTCTACCCAAACAAAATCAAACCAGAATTAAATTAGAACATACATTATTAAGTAAAATGCTGATCTTTAATAGTTTGGAGTTAAATTAATTTAAGATTGTGGTGTGTTTTTTGGAGACCACTAGTTGCAGATGTTGGAGTAATCTCCCGTATCGGCTCAACGCAAACATCGATTCTACTTTCTCTGGTTTCAAACTACTTTTTGGAATTTTACTATGACGAAATGTATATTCGTGTTTTATTCTCCCCACATCGCAGATGCTGAGCTATACATCGATGATGGGACTGATCAATTATACTACTACCGTCTGAGTAGAGCACGATTCAGCGCACTTATTTCGATCCTGTTATTTGATTTTATCGTACCTTTTCTTGTCGTTTCAAAAGAAAATTTACCAACGACCTGACGCAGAATAAGTCCTAGGTTTAAAAGGAAAAAAAGAAGCTTATTAGTATCTCGAAAGGAGACTGAAATGCGCGTTCAGCTAACTGTATTTCTTATCCGTATTTCCAGAAAATAATGCCGAGTCAGTGGAATGGAGAGGAAAAGTCATTAATATCATTTTCTGTTTCTTAAACACGATATAAAGTTTTCGGTGTTGCCCAAGATATCCATACATAAGTTTATTAACTTGAAAAGTAAGGCTTACAGGATTTCTGAAGTCGAGTAAAATTGCTTTGTCTGCATTAGCCAGGGCTTCTTTGAGTTTCCCTGCAGAATAAAGACTTTTTTAGTTCTGACATAAAACAGCACTTTGCGCTCAAAAATAACGTTTACTGAAACTGGGCGCTTTCCATTTTTCAGAACTAACCGGCCAGACTGTTCCCGTCGTAATAAGAATTCCATTTTTAATCAAGAATATCCATACAGCTAGATCAGTTAAGTCCTAAATAGTATGCACGAAGGAGAGGGTTTTTCAGCAAAAAATCTTGAAACCAGCCTGTTTAATTGTCAAAATGCGATCCAGTCATGGTCAGGCTGGCCAGTTCTGAAAAAAGGAAAGAGCCTGCCGCGATGGCAGAAAGTGCAGAGTGAAAAGAAAAAAAGACGCAGTATGCGATTCCTGGCATACTGTATCCCTCGTTTTCATTTTTTGGTGCCTCTTTGTACTTCGCGCCGATCCCCGTTATCTGAGCCCTTGGAAGACTCAGGCTAACCCAAGTGACAAGCGGGTGACTTTGTTGCCACGAATGCCGGCCTGGGTAGGCCTTTCTAGTGATTAGTGCAGCTTATCTAGTAATCCTGCAAAAATTTCAGATTATTTGGATTAACTTATCTACTAGGCATCCATTGGTGCTATGTTTTTTGCTTTTTAACTAGATACTTAAGACGTTAGGCCCAATCAAAGGACATCACTAATTTAGAATACAGCAAGCATGCTTCTAACCTTGGTGAATGAGACAACAAGCTATCCTTGCCAGGGTAGGGACGTGGAGATGAAGAACTCTCCCGGTGATACAGCCTGCTTGACATTCGTCCTACGATATATATAAAAAATTAAGCTGAGGGATTTTATTCAAAAGCCCTTCTGCTCTCTTTACTGGCGTTAACAACTTCCTTTCAGCAGAATTATCACAATAACGCCAAACGAAATGGTCTGCCTTTATTGCCATGATTAGCCACTGAACGACCCGCCGCTATTTTTGTCTGTTTTTTTCCCTAGTACCAGGATCTTCCTAGCGAAGGCAGTTTACATGGTGCTAGGATCTTCCTTCTTGTCAGCTAGGAAGATCCTAGTCCTAGGAAGATCCCAGCTCTAGGAACAAGTACAACTCTTTGCATGTAAACCGAATACAGAAAACATATGGCGCTAGGATGATCCGCCCCCTAGGATCTTCGTGGTACTATACGATCTTCCTCCCTTCATGTAAACAGCCCCTAAACTTATCCTTCAGTTTCAATGGCTTTAGATCCAAAGTAGCCGGTATTAAGCCTACCTTTCTCCAGCTCACCACCTCCATGGCTCGTTGAAAATGCCGCAATGCTTTCTGGTACTTTTGACGATTTTGCAACGCGACTGCGCAGTGAAAATGGCATTCAAATAACTGCAAAAGAGTTTAACCTTAGTATTCAATTAAGTGACGAATGGTAAAATGGTCAGTCTTTACTTTTAGTGTTCAAGTTTCATGATGAAGAAGACTCATCCGCCGAAATTCAGGTTAATGATTTGACATGAAGGAAAATTTAAAACTTCGGTCGTAATATACTCGACTGTACCTTCCATGCTTTGATTTGTGAACATTTTTGGTTTGACTTTTCGGTTTTTGTTTATGGATGTTGTTTGATCATGATAAGTATATATTGAAACAATTTATGCCAGTATTTTTGATACCTTTTAATTTGGCGTCACATTACAATCATGTTACAGAGTATACTTCCCCATGCATCAAGGCCTTTTGTTGGCCGTGCTTAAGATGCTTGCTTGAATATGCATTAGATTACAAAGCACTTGTAGTAGGTATGACTCGTATGTGTAACAACAGAAGGAGCAAATGATTAGAAAATTTTAAACCTATTTTTCCGATTATCAGATAGGGTAAGTTGTTTCTCCCTCTAAGATGGCTAAGAAAACAAGATGGCATGTAACCAACCGAAAAGCAAGCTTGTAATCTGGGCGATTACATCCATAACTCTGGTAAATGCAATTGCAATTGAATGAACCGAGGCATCTGTAAGTAGGACTTACCAGAAGCCGGAGCTTCTCTTTATTCAGGCTGTTATTCCATTTCAGCTTGTAAATTGTACTTAATACTTCCTCATATCTGACTGCTGCCTATTAAAATTGGAAACATATATAGCCAGAAATTATAGCGATTCATATCCTTAAGAAGACAGGTTTATTATTGCTGCTGTTGTCTTGTGTTTAGAAAGTTAGTTCCTTAACATCCTAAACTTATAATAGGCTGATGTTGTAACAGAAAGGGGACGTCAGTTGACGACGGGAAAGCGCACGGAAAGGACTAAACAAGACTTCCGGTGCCCAATTTGCTGCTCTGTCATTGGTCAAGCCAGTTGTTTGATTTGGGCGCGTCGTCGTCATCTGACGTTCCCATTGTGTTGTTAAATCAGCCTAATAAAGCAATGAGTGGGGCTAAAGATTTCAGTTTCGGCTGAGGACTTAGCCTCATGGCGCTATAAACTGAATAGTTGTTGGTTAAGTGACTAATAAAGTAAACTCCCTTTTGGAAGGTTAGGATAAAATGGTAAAGCTTTTGGGGTCGTGAGTAATATCCCAAATTAGTGATTCAACTTATTCCCTGGGCATATATCTTCAAAGGTAAAAATAACATTTCTGTCAGTTTTGCTTTGAAGGTACGTATTTAGGCCATCTTCCCATCACCAACTGTAACGTATGGTACGTTCGAGTTATTTGTTTCCTTGCTAAAACGTTGGCGATACATTGGCCTTATCACGGATTCTTAGTAAACAGCATTTCGCCACGGCAGAACAAGAGTTAAAAATGTTTCTATTGTATTTTTCAATTATATATTTTTTTGATGATTTAACCAGCTAGAATAAAATTCAATTTATACCTACTATGATATTTCTTATAATTAATTTCCTATTTGTTTTAAAAATCTATGGCTGCGAAATACCGCGGAGAAACCATTCTAATGGTCAAAACTTAACTTACTGTAAATTTTCACTGACTTGAGAATACGGTCTTCTTTAAATAAACATATAAATCGAAGGAAAAGCTAACGTATTTCAAGCCTTAGCAACGTAACCAATAACGACGAATGTATTTTTAGCCTTATTCACTGACTAGATAATATTTTCAGCTTTTAAGAATTAGCATTTAAAAACGTTTACAACGGTAAAAGACGATAAAAAAGTTACCTTGTCCCAAGATTTCTGTCTTTCACAAGACACAGCCGATAGAAAAGACTTATGAACAGCTTCCATGTTTGTTTGTCAGCCTACAAGTGTCGAAGTCTCTCTAGTCAAGACTTGTAGTTATCGCATAATTAGCTGCTTTGTCGTGATAACAGGTCGTTAGAAAGATTTTTCTGTAACTCCGTCTTCCATAAACAGGCAGTTATCACATTCGGAGTCGACATTTTTCGTAAAAAAGTCAAATTTAAACATCAAAGAAATATACAGAAGTTCTGTTTCGATTCTGTTATTCTCTCGCACAATTAATTCATGTTTAGAGCTTACGTTTTCGCAACGCAGCTGGTTAAACACTCTGAATAGGTTATTTCCTATGAATTTGTCGGCCTAATTTGCATTTCACACAGCAAAAAATTCGACTAAATTTTTAATGTGCCCAAGATCAGGGTTTATGGGATTCTGTAAAGATGCATAACACATGGGTAAAATGACTGGAACAATTTTTACATTTCTCTAACTAATGTAGTACAAATCTTTGTGCTAAACGTTATATTAGGTACAACTTATATTCACCGCCTGTAACAGCCAGGAGACTGTGAAAAAGTAAACGGCAGACTGGCCGTTAGTGTTCGGGTGTCCGAGATTTGGTCTTTCCTTTTCGCTGTGCTTTGCTTTGGAGTATAGTTCATCCGTTTTGCCAACAGATTCCCTTTGACTCAAGAACAAGGAGCGCGGGCCATGCCACTGTGAATGATGAAGACAGTTTTGAAACTTTTGCTTGATTGGACTCAGACCTGCATCCCTTTCCTCTCTAAGAAGTAGATGGTAACAGTGTCGGGTCCAGGCGTTCAGATAGGGGGCGAGGCGGGGGCGGGGGGGGGGAGTTGGGGGGCAAATGCATCAATCAATCAATCAATCAATCAACTTTATTTAAACACGGTAAATGGCTCAGCAAGCTGGTTTTCAGACATGCCGTGTATTAGAAATAAGATAAAAACATGATAAAAGTTATATCCTAAGATATGGCGAGTTTAAAGCTAGTAAGATCCCCCATCTCACGTGTTTTATTTGACAGTTGGTTCCAAGCCATTGCACCCCGATAAGAAAATGAGCGCTTGAGAAAATTTGTTTTAGGTAGTGGTAGTTGGAGATCATAGTTAGAACCCCTCAAATTATAGTCATGAATTTCAGAGGTTCTATGAAACTGCATTGCATTGACCGAGAAGGCCTGGAAAGACGCTGTACACCTAGGGACTTGGCAAGGTATTGTCCACACATCTTGGGATCCCTCGGCTGAGGCCAATTGTGACAGTAATATCAAATAAATAGAATTTCTGCGAACTGCCCTTGATTCACAGTTGAACTATTTCCAAGCGGCGTTTCCGTTGCAATAAATCGAAAAGTGACTGTTCCACAATTAACCTCCTCTTTCCCTGAGGTGCCGTAGACTGACTTAGGTCCATGGATCAACGCTTCAACTGTACATGGCACTGCAGGTAGCAGCTGAAAGGGATGTTCAAAAGTAACGTCAAAACCATGGTAGCCACACTTTTCTTGTTCTTCCGTTTTAAATTCGCCTTCAACGACAGTTTTACCATCGAGTTTTAAGTTCACGAGATATTTCTCTTTCTGATACCCGAATAACCTTACTCCTTTGATTAGCACTGGGGCATTGACGGTAAAACTGATGGAATCAGCCGCTCCGCGATTGTAATGCCAAAAACAACCTACTCCAGATCTGGACGAGAAACGTTTACAACGCTGCATTTGATTTTTGCTGTTTTTACCCCTAGGAACACAGGAAAACTCTCCAGGTTGTCTACCAAGATTAAAATACATGAACAACTTGACAATCTCAGTCTCTGTGAGTATTTCAGTGTCTGGGACATGGCTTGCAAATTCCTTTTCGGTCATCACGGGAAACCGAACTAATGTTAAAATTGTTTCGCCCATGACTTCTCTTTTATTTTTTCCGCTTCCTTCTAAGCCCCTTTGTTCACAAATGCACTCTGCCCAGCCGTCAATAGCTTGAAAAATTTTAACTTCGTTGATGATTAGTGAATCCCTTGTTAGCAATGAGCTTAACAAATGTGCGTCATCGAGAAGCGAAGGGGAAGCAGATTCCAATACCTTCTCGGTATGAGAATCAACTACGTTCCAGCAAACACAAGTCAAGTGAGTCTCGTCCATTTCTGTTACCTGAGGCAGAACATCCAGAACATTTTGAGGAGTAATATTTTTTTCGAGAAAACGTCTACACAGCTCCGTCAATGAAGGTATTATGTATTTCTTTGCGAGGTAAAGCACTTGCATCACACAACTTCCGGTTAACTTTGCCTCGTCACGATAAATGTGACGCAACAATTCCAGAAATCCTTCGGAGTCACAGTCTGGTAGATCAATAGAATCCCCTGTCTCAGCCAGTTCTCCATAAAACATCGCGAAAAACACGGGACTGCTTAGGCCCAGAACAAGCTTGTGACAAGGAACTGCGACTTTAGATTCACGTTTTTCACCTTTTTCCGCCACAAGGAAATTGACATCGGCCATTAGAGGGTTGTTGTACAAATGCTTGATTCTTTCACCCATTGATCTTTTGGTAATCTGCCATTGGTAGAAATCGCCTGAGTTTTCTATTTTTGTTGCCATTGCGAGACCACAGAATTACGTTGGTCTTAGTTTAGTAGAAAGTTTCACGAAACGCAAAAGTCCAATAAAAATGAGAGCGGAAGTAACAAACGCGAGCGCCTGGAAACGAGTGACAACGAAGGTCAGGGGGTTGTCTGTACATTGATTGCTTCTTCATATACACGCAACGAAAAAGACAACTCTTGTAGAAAGTGCCTTGCTCTGAATTCGCGATGGAAAAGTCGTTAGATTCCCATTTAGAGGACATGTAAGTCTATTAAGTTATCTGTTTAGCAGAAAGTAGAAAAATATGTTTAATTTGTCGTATGTTTTTTTTATTCTAGCATGTCAGAACATGGAGTTATTGGGGTGCTTTGCAGTGATCAGCAAGGGTTGGCACTTTCAGGTCAGTTTGACCCTCTAATGCTTGATCTTTAATGAGCTAACGTTTTCTAGACTTTAGATTTCTAATGAGTATTAATTCCACATATAAATGTGTTGAAATGGTTGTACAAATTTGGTTTTATTGGCATTAATCTTATGGAACGTACATGGTATATTCTTTTGGAAAACTAAATAATGAGAGTTTTAAGTCACTCCTGCGTCATGTGACTACAGTTCGATCTTTAACCTTGTAGTACAACTGAATGATGAGGCTACAGAGTACTCTAACTACAGTGTGTCTAACCTTGTCACACCACTATTCAGATTTTGTTTTAGCTGGTGTTTAAATTGAAGATTGACCTAAAGTACTTTTACCCAAAACAGACCTTCTTATTAATTCACTTGCTGCAAGTTATTGACTGTTTGGCATTCTTTGGATAAGCGACCGGACTACAATCAGGGACAAAAGTAGTTGACACACTCGTTTAAAACGGGTGCTTTTAACAAACATTTAATTCATTTATTATTTCATTCCTTTTAAACGCCGTAAATCCCCCGACCCCTCGAATCAATGTTGTCTGAAGTAAAAAAAAGACTTGAGGGTCCAAAATTCAACATTGATTTTGGGGGGAAGGGATTGGGGTAGACAGGGGAAGGGGATAAGTATATCCACCATGCAAAAAGGGGCCATTTTACGGAAGTGTGTCAACACTTTTGTCCCTCATTGTCTGAATGCAAAATTGTGCTACTGCACACAAGTTGAGCCGTGTATGACACTGATTTTAACTGAAATTAAAGGAATCAATGACGTAATTATGTTATTGGTGGTGGGGGTGACATTGACTTATTCACGACCGAATTATAGGGCCAATTCGAATTACGTGACGACGTAATAAAAGGGCTGCGATATCCAGAATAAACGTCGATATGGTTTACAAGCTGAAAACTGATGCTAAAACTCGCGCACATGAACAACTTTTGATGAATTTCAAGGGTATGCGTACTGAAAATATTTTTAATAAAGTGAATATTTCTCGTTCTTCACTTTATCCGATTGTTAAGGCGCAAACAATCACGGGTAGGGTAAGGATTGAGACGTAGTGGAGATAGTCACTGGCCAGTCACAGAAATATGGAACGTTAGTGAGGAGCGGCCGTCACTGCGTTCAATATCGAAACTACGGAAAAGTGAAGGTAAATTCATGGCCAATTCAATAAAAAACTAAGGACTGCGTAGCAAACATTTCAAGTGTACACAAAAACAATTACTTTCAATCCCACCTCGCGACACCCTGTGTGACATGATAACGCAACGTAAATAGCGTGACATGAGCGCATATGTCTGAGTATTTGGACTGCATTTCTCAAGCAAAACCCTGTGTTGTTGTCTATTGTCGGGAGAGAAAATGAAAAGAGAGCTTTGAAACGTGAACTGGTATTTGACTCTCAAAGAAAACGACAGCTCAAACTGAGGAAAACACTGCTTCCTTCGTGTTACAACGGTTAACCAAGTTTCGGCAAACGGAAAGTAACATATTAAGTCTGTTATGACCTCTTAATGTCGATATGTATTCTCGTGGTTAACCGTTGAAACTCCTTATTTGCACCACATCGCTGAAATTTTTCTTGCCAAGAATACGATTATGGGCACTTTTCTACATAGCGGAATCTTCTTTTGCCTTTTGTGAGGAATTAGCGCATAAAAAAGGAAGATTTTCCAGAGCACGGCCGTCATCGATCACGTGTTATCTCGCTTTCCTTGTCATCAAGTGAACTTCTGGGCCAAAGTAATTGCTGTTTTGGCGATGATACAAACTGGTGTGTCTATCTTGAAAACAATTTCTTTGGTATTCTGTGATTTACGAGCTGGGAAATGAAATAGTTGTCCACCCAACACCAATAAAAAAAATGGCACTGAATAAATGGCAGGCGGTCATCTAAAATCATTACAAAAGTACATTCCTAACCTGGTCTAACCTGTTCGACGCCTACACACGCTAAAGGTTTGGATCTGCTAGATTTGAAAAGGTCTCCCAAAAAAAAAAATCATCTATTTATAGGACATAGCACAAACGACTGGCTCATCATTTGTGAGGTTCATAACCTGTATATTGTTCACGTCCTTTCACTAATGGCACAAGTCAATGTCAACAATAATGCATGTTGCAGTACTTCATTCGCTTAAGTTAACCATTTACCAGAACAATTTTCATTGTACCTTAGTGTTTCCATCCTTTTTCCACTATTGATAATACTTGTAAAAAAAATTACATCCGCAGCAGCGGCATTGATCACAACACAAATGATTTCCTCTCGACCTGACAGGGTATCAGGAATGCATGCGGGAGTACAAGATTAAGTAATGACATACGCTTCGTACATTTTACTCTACGTATACTACAAATCAGGACCAAACTTTTCAAATTGTTGTTTATAAACAAACAATTTGGTCCACAGAGTAACGTCATCGCACAAAAATTCAGCAGCGTCCAAAATCTAGCCGGAAAACACAGAGACATATTTCAGACAATCAGGGACAAAAGTAGTTGACACACTTGTTTAAAACGGGTGCTTTTAACAAACATTTAATTCATTTATTATTTCATTCCTTTTAAACGCTGTAAATCCCCCGACCCCCCGAATCAATGTTGTCTGAAGTAAAAAAAAGACTTGAGGGTCCAAAATTCAACATTGATTTTGGGGGGAAGGGGTTGGGGTAGACAGGGGAAGGGGATAAGTATATCCACTATGCAAAAAGGGGCCATTTTACGGAAGTGTGTCAACACTTTTGTCCCTCATTGTAGTTCAGCAGAGGCCATAGGTTGAAATCCTGTTAAGTCCTGAAATTTTTTCAGGTTAATTTGCATTTGCTTAAATTGCAATCACCACTGTGACGATCATATCTTTATTTAAATTGGTTTTAGGACTGCAATGTAGCTCAGTTAGCACTTGTGCATGTAGGAGGTCATACAATGTACAAGTGTAGGTATGATCCCATGGGTTAGACCGATACTCAGGGTCTCAAAGTATTTAAGAAATGAAGGAATGCAAACATCTAGACCTTCCATGGCTTGAATGAACTCGTAAAATGGCAGTCCCATCTCAGTGTAGTAGATGATGCAAAAATAATGTTCTTCATTAGTAAGCTTACTTTTGTGTCAAAATGCACTGAAACACCAATAAGGTACATTTAAGTGCCTTTTGAGCCAAACAAGAGAGATACCCAGCTTTGAATGTTGAAAAATAAACTGCATATGGACTCTTAATTATGCTCACTCTATTAACCATACTGTTATCAATATTTGAGCTAAATTTTTTTGCTTTTTCTCTGCTGTCACTTACAAATAATCCTCTTGAATTTTCTTGTACAGCTAAAGGCACAGCAAATCCCATGTACTCTGGACATGTTAGCTCTCTAGTGGAAAATGCAAGGAAGCTATACCCAAATAAAGAACCTCAACCAGTCATTTGTTTAGAATCAGATGCTTGGTAAGTCGATATTAAAGCAAGGCTTGGCTTCAAGAGAAGCCAGCCACAAGTTAACCTTTAGCAAAACACTGGTTAATTGTAATAAAATTGTAATTTGTTTACCTCGGGAGCAGTTAAGAGTTCTTAGGAACTCGTTAAAATGTGTCTGTACATTCCAGATTGAATTGGAATTTGGAAGTGTTGGTTTTAAGGAGAGGGGAAAACTGAGTACCCAGAGAAAAACCTCTCAGAGTAAGGGAGAGAACCCACAACAAACTGAACCCACATATGGCATTACCATTGCTTGCCTCAAAAACTGTATACAAGTGTATTTAGTTTTGCAGTGTTTAATCTAGAAATTAGTCAAAGTGGGTCATATGTCCCATGCTACATGGCATTTTAAATTGGGTCATTTCAAAGATTGTCTGGGTCAAACTATGATACTGAAACTTTGAAAAACCGACATCTTCATGCTTTTCAGGTTCAATTGCCATTCTCTTTTACGTAAAAAATGAACCAAGCATTTGTTGCCATTTCATAATGAAACAGCAAAAGAACAAATGCAGCATGAATCGATTGATGGAGAAATGACAAACGTCAAAATGTAGTTCCAGTCTTCTGCGTGTCTGCGTGCAAAGGAAGTCATGTTCGATAGCCCGGGGCTATTAGATTTTGCTATTGGGCTGGTGATTTTTGTTGTTAACTTGCCCGACGGGCAAGTGCTGTTTTTTGGGGAAATTCAAATTACAGAAAGATTGTAATCAATCCTACTAATCAAAAAGGGTTTTGGGGCTTGTTGAAGTGACTTGTGGGCTAGTACATGCTAGCTACAGCTTGCCCAAATGGCAGGCTGTACAACTGTTTTTTTTTGCTCATTGACTCTTTCATAATTGCGTAGAATGTCTGACGCAAAAACTACTCGTAAGCACATAGTCTGAAATGAGTCATTCTGTTCACTCATTTCAGGGTAGTAGGCACACCTATTTTTCTAAATTTACTTTTATCATTGCCTGCTGCTTTGAAAGTACTTATAAGAAATTATATGAAGTAACATTTTTTGGGTTAGTATGACTCCATGATAATTTCATTATGCATCAGAGTAGAACATTCCATGTCAATGAGACAAAAATGCTGCCCAGATTGAATACTGGCTTTGTACAACGAGTTTCTTAAGTAGTAAAAGACAGAATCTACTTGGGTCTGATAGAGCACAGCCCAGTAAAGGGGCGGGGCATAGAAGCTGGGCGTGGGGAATTCAATATTGTGTCATCCCTATTAATGTATATCTTTGGCATCTTCTCTTCCTGTTCTCTTCTCTAGGAGAACTTAATAAGCCTTTTTTTTTAGTTATTGTATTTTGGGGTTATAAGTAGGGGTGTATGCAAGAAAGTCCTAAGCGACTTTGTGGTTGAAATTTTAAGGAACATGATTGATTTATTGCACATTGAACGTCATCACATTATTGTTAGTTGTTTTCAAAACTTTAACTGTCATTGGCTGAATAACCATCAAAATTCATTAACTGAATTCACATATATCCTCAGGGTCTTGGGATCCAAGATTTGACCAAAATATGGTTCGGGATTTGGGAAAATGCAGCATATCTTAACAGGAAGTGGGATTTTACAGCTACCCAGGAAGGTGGATAACTACCCTGGGATTTGCCAGAATTTAAGCATGGGATGCAGGATTTTTTTGCCTGTTTGTGGGGAATTCGGGAAACCATATGTATAAGCTGCAAACGTGAATCAATCAGGTGCGCATTTTAAGTGGTGTCTCCCTTCAAACGAAGTCATTAATTTTCCCTTTGCAGTTTTTTGAATTTATTTTATTGTTTTTGGAAACAAAATCTCAGGAATTTGAGAAAGCAATGAAAAAATGGCGGGGTGCATGATTGTCGTGAAAAAGGAGCAGGAATGTGGCATTAGGGTCTGTTTCCTGTGAAAACCTGTATGGCATACTGATCAGCAATTATTATTGCTCCCACTGGCAGGCTGCCATTTTTCTTTGTGTCTTTGTTTGTGTTGCTGTAATTTCAAAAAATTATGATAATGTAAAGATGCAAAAAAAAAATAGTCATGATAATGATAAAATAGTAATACATGTAATGTATGGATTCTCCTGAGAAGTTAAAAAGTTTCTCTATTTGTTAAGAGAAATATCAAGACACAGGAAAAGAAAACTAGTTCTGTGATGACCAGTTAATGAAGTGTGATAGTTACATGTATCTATAATTTATGGTCTCGCATTGTGGTCATTCACATTTCGCTGTCAATCTTTTGCCAACTTACATGTACACGTACAGTCACACCTTTAACCCTCTAAGTCCCAAAAGTGATGAGTATCAATTTTCTCCTAACGATGTTAATACACAACCAAGAGAGAATTAATAAAACTATCACCTAAGAGGAAATGCTTTGATCTTCTACCAAATTCTCTCAACTCATTCTTTATGAAAATGTATAGAGATCAGTTTGGAGAATTTGTATGTGAATAGTGGTCACCTTTGTGGAAAAGCCATGTGGAATGCCTTTTACAGCTTTAACCACTAAATGTAAAGCAACAAAAGAATTTTTTGACAGAAAGTAAAAAGAAATTTCAGCCGGGGGCGGGGGGAGGGTGGGGAAGGAGGGGATTGTGGTTCTGATGCAAGCATTAGAATTAGCTGGGTTATGGTGTACAGGGTACAGGAGGTAGGCAAGGCGTAGCCTGCGAGCAAGCTCTCCTATTTGGGCGAGTGAAACGAGTCTCGCGAGAACGCGCGAGCGAGCGGCGAAGCCGCGAGGGGCAGAGGAAAGGAGAGCTTGCAACCATCTCTTACAAATTTTCATTTGTACTTCGCCCAGACGAAGGGAAATACCATTGGCTGAAAAATGACGTTGCGGAAATCAAAGTTGATTGATAACAGGCCAAGCTGGCACCCGCTTCGTCTGTGTGTCAAATTTGGTTCTCAGGGGGATCAGATTGGTACCGAGAACTTGTTTCAGCGCTCAATGCAGACGGGCTCGTTTGTTGTAATTCTCGCAAAGAGAATATTGCGTGCCGAGGATAAGTCGGACCGAGTTTGTAGTTCTTGTGGAAGGAAAATGAAAACCCTTCATCAGTTGTATTCATTTGTGTCAAGCGCCTTGGTTAGTTCTGAAAACCGGGAGAGTGAAAGTGAAGAGTGATTAAAGCGCTGCCTTCCAACATCGGTTTCTTCGCCCGATTGAATTCTACTGGGTAGAAAAATTCAGAAACATGTACTTGACAGTGTAGCTGTGTAGCTTGATCGTAAAGAAGGAAAAGAGAAAGAGTTGGAAGCAACTGGAGTAAACCTTAAGAGAACCAAGTGCCGAAAAACGCAATTCTCCAGTTCCAGACGGACAAATATATGATGTTTTTGTTGGTGATTGCGATGGGGAGTAGTCTTCTACGCTGCAGTATGGACGACCTTTCAAAAGTAAACGAAACGAGAATCAAAGTAGTGAGTTCTTATCCGAGCGGACACGTTGAAGTTCGATGTCCCCGTGAAAAAAAAAACATATCAGTGATATTAAAAACATTGCTTTAATGCTGTTGCGAAAGCGATTTATAAATAAATAATTCTACGTGCCCTCGGCTGTCTAAACTTACTTGACAGGCGGTTGTCACTTTTCTAATCTGCCGCACGTTTGCGGTGACAATTTTCGCACTTTGTGGAGTCCCGGGGTTTCCGGGGTGGAAATGAAAATTTATGAGAGATGGTTGCAAGCTCTCCTTTCCTCGGCCCCTCGCTCGCGCGTTCTCGCGAGGCTCGCTTCGCTCGCCCAAATAGCAGAGCTTGCTCTCAGGCTAGGCAAGGCGCTGAAAGGGGTTGATTATTCTCTCCATTGTTCCTCGGCTTTCAAATCAAAGGTTGAAAGTACGAGAATACCGAGCGAAAAAAAAAAATGTGCACTCTGGGCTATACAGTCGACTGGGGTAAGGGAGAGAAAATAAGACATCACATAGTAGGAGCTTGCGGGGAGGGGGGGGGGGGAGTGGTCCTGGAAAATTTTCACGGGGCTGTACAGCATCCGATCAGAGACCAATATGAGATTTTCCCTGTGCTATTTCAGACCTGAACCCGTTGTTGTCAAGAGATAATAGATAATAAAAAACATACCCGATTCCAGATCGTAGCTACATGTAACAATAAATTACCCTAGATTTTAAAAACGTCTATGCTCCATTTCACATTAAAAGCACACCCTTTGTGCTGCACGTACGTAGATACCTTATTTAAGCGTACACCTTCTCTCACCCCACCTCCCCACGAACTCCTCGGGACCTAAGACCTCAGAGGTGCCTGGGATCGTTGGGAGGTCTCAAATCAAGGGAAGCTATATTCGAGTGACCGTTGAATGCAGGTTCCCTCACACGCTGTTTTCACCCTTCTTTTTCAGTAATTTGTTTATCAGATCTGAAGGGAATGTCACCATTGCTATCCACAAGGTGCCATCATGAAAAGAAGGATAACCGGAAAAAAGCTATTTTGTTATAACGAAAACTGCATGTAAATGAAATGTTAATTAAAATTATCTGGATATTATAGTTACGTGATAATCATTTTATGGTTTCCTTTTTATATAGTATAACTTTATACGGTCAAATCTCTGCTAAAGGGAACTTTCGACCCCTCTTTGTCTCCTTGGACAGTCCATAGATTTACTCTTGTTATTGTAAGGGGACAGACCGATAGTCCAGCTTCAAAATCTGTTTAAACAGATGAAAAAAGACACTGGTCCAATTAGACAGATTATTATACATCGTACTTACTATCAGTCTTCTCTCAAGAGCCTACATGGAAATCAGCGCAACCTACGGAATCGTTAGTTATCTGCTAGTAGACAACTGACTCAGGTCAGCGCGCAATGCATAATTTCCAAGAGCAATGTGAAAACTGTGTTCCGTGCAACGGAGTGTTTGTCATTATTTTCTTTGAAACAATGTACGTTAAAAAAAAATTTAGATTGGTTTTTTGTGATATCTGGAGTAATCAAGGTCGAGGTACATGAAAGTGTA